TCGACTCTACGGCTGGTTGCGAATTACTGAGTATGATGGATGCATCTTAGGGATACCACCAGATTCCATTGTGCCCGGAGGATCAGAGTAAGGTGAGTTTCGTGACGAGTAAAGGGACGTGCTGCTATGTCGTCATGCCCTTTGCGCTTAAGAATGTTGGAGCCACCTACCAACGGTTGATGGATCGAATGTTCAAATCTCATATTGGGCGAAATATCGAGGTATTTGTGAACGATATCTTGGTAAAGAGTAAGGCCTCAACCTTACACCCAGACGATTTGAGGGAAACGTTCAAAACCCTTAGGGCGTTCGGGATGAAGATGAACCCAAACAAGTGTGCCTTTGGAGTAAAGGCAGGACGATTCTTGGGGTATATCGTCATAGAGCGAGGAATCGAGGTGAAACGGGAAAAAGTGAAAGCCATACTCGACATGGCTCCACCAAGAAATATAAGAGATGTGCAAGTTCTGACGGACGAATTGCGGAGGTGAGCAGGTTCATTGCTCGAGCCGCAGAAAAAAGCTTCCCGTTCTTCAGATTACTCAAAAAGAAGTCGACCTTCTCATGGAGTGACGAAGCACAAATGGCCTTCGAAAAGTTGAAAGAATTCTTGGGCGAGTTGCCTTTGTTGACAAAACCAGCGCCCGACGACGATCTGGTGCTTTATATATCTGTGGGTTCGGTATCACTAAGTTCAGTGTTATTGCAACAAGAATGATGTGTCCAACAACCAATTTACTACACCAGTCGAGTTCTTCAGGGCGCAGAGACGAGATACTCTGAGATCGAGAAAGCTGCATTGACACTGGTGATAACGGCTAGAAAACTAAGGCCATATTTTCTGAATCATGTGGTAGTAGTCAGGACGAACTTCCAGCTGGGTGAAACATTGGGCCGACCTACGGTATCAGGTCGACTCGTTAAGTGGGCAGTCGAGCTGAGCGAATATTCCATCAAGTATGAGCCGAGGCGAGGCATAAAAGCTCAAGCCCTGGTAGACTTCATCCAAGAAAGTACCAAGGGAGAAGAAAAGAAATGGGTCATGCACGTCGATGGGTCCTCAGCGGCCAAAGGGTCCGGTCTGGGAATCGTCCTCGTATCACCCGAGGGAGAGCAACTTGACTTTGCCATTAGAATGGGATTTAAGGCCTCAAATAACGAAGCAGAATCGAGGCGTTAATCAAAGGAATTCAACTCGCAATTGGCGGAGGAGCGTCAGAAATTGTGGCATATTCCGACTCACAATTAGTTGTTGGACATGTGTTGGGAAGTTGCGAGATCAAAGAAGAACGAATGATGAAATATGTCGAGGAAATACAAAGTCTTGTGCAGGGTCTGGAGAAGTTTGAACTAACACAAATCCCTCGAGAGGAAAATAAACGAGCAGATTGGCTCGCGAGAATCGCGAGCTCGAATGATGGGATGGTGGGAAGCTCCATCACCACCATGCATCTAGAGGGAAGCGTGTTGGGCGAAACAATGGAAGTCGAGGAAAAGGACGACTGGAGAAAATCGATTCATGAACTCCTACAGGGTCGAGTACCTATGGAAGATAAGCAGGAGGCAGAAAGGGTCGCTCGATATCTAAGCAAGTATTTTGAAGTCGACGGTGTCATGTTCAAAAAATCTTTGGTTGGGCCTCACTTGCGATGCATCTCTAAGGACGGAGGAACCCATGTCTTGAAAGAAATACATGAAGGATGTTGCGGAGCGCATATTGGATCGTGAGCTCTGGCGGGCAAAGCCTTACGAGCAGGATACTAATGGCCCAAGATGCGGGCAATGGCAGAAGAACTAGTCCAAAGTTGCGAAAAATTTCAACGTCACGGGCAGATCACTCATATCCCCGCCGAATACATGACGACCATAAACACTCCGATCCCTTTCGCGCAATGGGGAATCGACTTGGTAGGACCATTGCCGACAGGGACAGGGCAGAGGAAGTTCTTAGTAGTCGCTGTTGACTATTTTACCAAGTGGGTCGAAGCGGAACCGTTGGCAAAAATTACGGAGGAAAAGATGATTCAATTCATGTTTAACAATATCTGTTGTCGGTTCGGAGTTCCGAAAGTACTAATCTCTGACAATGGAACTCAGTTCCAAGGGAAACGAATTCAGGCATGGTGCCTTGACATGGGAATAAAGCAAAGGTTTGCCTCGGTCGCGCACCCCCAGGCTAATGGGCAAGTCGAAGTAACTAATCGAACTATTCTCCAAGGGTTGAAGAAGAGATTGGAGAGAGCATCAGGTGCTTGGGTCGATGAGCTGACAACGGTTCTATGGGCCTATAGGACGACCCCGAGAAACTCAACAGGCCAGTCGCCATTTCACATGGTTTACGGAATGGACGCACTCCTGCCTATCGAAGTAGGCTTAGATTCTCACAGGTCGACATTTTATGAGGAAAAGAAGAACGAGGAAATGATCAAAGAGGCCCTCGATATGATAGAAGAAGGGCGTGAGGAAGCCCGGGTACGATCCATGGAATACAAACAGAAGATGCGTGCAGCCTTCGACAGGAAAGTCCGCACCAGACGATTTCAGGTGGGAGATCTTGTCCTCAAACGAGCAGATGCTCTTAAACATGTCGGGAAGCTTGAAGCTAACTGGGAAGGACCTTACACCATCACCAAAGTACTTGAAAGAGGGGCAAATAAACTCGAAGATGATGAAGGACGACAGCTGCCGCGATCTTGGCACGTGATCCATCTCAAACGCTTTTATGCCTAAAAATAGCATTTTGAACTCTTTTGTACTGAACAATGCTTAGTCAAATTCAGTAATGCAACGACTCCCAAGTTTATGTTTAAGTTGTGTCTTTTACATTTCCATGTCGATTTTATTATAACTACTTGAAAAATCGAATCTTTCGGAATGACTATGAAGCCGATTAACTCCAACGACTACGAAGTCGATCTAAAACGACTACGAAGTCGATCTAAAAACAACTACAAAGTTGTATGCCTCGAGCGAAATCTCGGCAAGGCTACGAAGCCTACGAATACAAAGTCGATTCGAACAACTACAAAGTTGTATGCCTCGAGCGAAATCTCGGCAAGGCTACGAAGCCTACGACTACAAAGTCGATTCGAACAACTACAAAGTTGTATGCC